TGTATGTAAGCTTCCTATTTGAAAACAAGAATTCACATAAAATTCATAAATACAATAACAGAAAAGAAGAGAGAAAAGTAAATTAATTTTCAAGTACCGTTAATTCACACAAAGTTAAAATCTGTTTTTTGTAGTTTGAGTATAGTAAACTGCGTACTACAAATATTATTTTAAATATTTTCATGCAACAACTTCTAATGCTATTTTCTTTAACTATAATTTCATGCACAAAAGTACAACAAATAATAATTTATTCCACAAAACAACATTTCAAAAAAGCCTAGACAAAGGCAATATCAACTCCCAGTTAAAAGAATGTAGGTCCATGTATACTTCAGTAAATTTCAATCTCGCATTTTTATTACAGTCCACTTAGCTGTAATATATACCTATTAGTATGATGCCTAAATTATAAACGAGTTTTTACCAAACTTTTGTCATAGAATTAGTGTATTAAAGTGTTGAGTTTTATCACATTAAAAATGTACCCAAAATAAAGAATAATTTTTCAACTGTTACACATCACTTGGACAAATAGTTATGTATGCTTTACTAGAATAAGTCTGAATGTCCATTAACAGATGCTCTAAGAATAATTTTGTATTAAACACTATAAAAATTAACCCACTGACTGCTGATTTACAGTATAGGGTACATCTTGCAAAAATTACACACTCATTTAAAGCAGCCACAGTCAAAGGGTTAAAGCCAGTACACCATGAAGCATGCTTGTATAAGGCTTACCTGCTTAAGACAAAACATAAATATTCATGTATTACATGTATGAAATACAATGATAACATAAATATTCATGTATTACATGTATGAAATACAATGATAACAGAAATATTCATGTATTACATGTATGAAATACAATAATAACAGATTTCTTATGAAACAAGATTGGGTGTTTAATGATAACAGTCTTTACTGACATATGAGATATAAGTTTTACTCTGGAAAACAATATCCAAGATTGTAACAGTCTTTACTGACATATGAGATATAAGTTTTACTCTGGAAAACTATATCCAAGATTGTAACAGTCTTTACTGACATATGAGATATAAGTTTTACTCTGGAAAACTATATCCAAGATTGTAACAGTCTTTACTGACATATGAGATATAAGTTTTACTCTGGAAAACTATATCCAAGATTGTAACAGTCTTTACTGACATATGAGATATAAGTTTTACTCTGGAAAACTATATCCAAGATTGTAAGTCTTTACTGACATATGAGATATAATCTTAAACTGTACAGTTTAATTTTCAATATCATGCAGCAAAGTAGTCATCATATAAAAGTAAATAAAAACAGAAAACAACATTATTGGTGATTGTAATGGCTGATACTGTGCATTGACAATGAGTAAAAAATGTGCTTTTATGAATGAAATAGTCAGATATTCAAGTATTTACTTTTGGGCATATACCCAGTAAAACTGGTCAACAAATGAATTTTGCTTTGGAAATAGCAAGTGAAGGATAACATTCACAAAATATCTTTTAATATACCAAGAATTACAACACTTAGCAACTAAATCCTAGACTGACTAAAGTACATGTTATATGAATTATTTACGTGACTATAATCTTCAAAGTTCAAGGACATGACTGTACATGTCATGATATAAACATATGTTACGCTGGTATTTCTATTCCATCAATAAACTACATGTAATTAGAATTATTCATAAAAAAAAGAACTATTATTTCAAAACAAATATATATATAAACTGATAAATAACAAAAAACTATTAAAAACATTATTTACAGATATTAGTGAAAAATCACAGAAAATACTAATGATGTGTATAAATGTGAATATCAACCAATGAAATTAGTGGAAAATCTTAGAAAATATTAACAATATGTATAAATGTGAATATCAACCGATGAAATTAGTGGAAAATCTTAGAAAATACTAACAATATGTATGAATGTGAATATCAACCAATGAAATTAGTGGAAAATCTTGGAAAATACTAACAATATGTACAAATGTGAATATCAACCAATGAAATATAGGGATTGCTGTTTTGGTGCACAATACTTTATAAAGCAACTAAATCAATAATGTGTTTGCCAATTTTAGATAAAACTCTTCGCTATTACAAATTAGAGAACTGAATCAAATTAACATCACCAAGTTTACAGTACAACAGACAAGGAACAAACTTGAACTTTATATAAACCACAAGGAAAATAAAGGGGTCGTGTCATAGAATCAAAATTAACATCACCGAGCTTAAAATACAACAGAAAAGTCCCAAACACTAAGTTCCTACAAACCAATTACTAGATAACCACAACAGAATCAGAATTAACATCAACGAGCTTAAAATACAACAGACAAGCCCCAAACATTAACTTCCTACAAACCAGTTACTAGATAACCACAACAGAATCAGAATTAACAACACCAAGCTTAAAATACAACAGACAAGCCCCAAACATTAACTTCCTACAAACCAGTTACTAGATAACCACAATATGTAGAAGGATCATAAAACAGATCATGACAGTCCAGTCTGTACAAACAACTTCTTTATTAGCATTAAAAATTTTTTAATTTTGATACGAAGGTTCAGAAACTTTAATTTTTATTGTACTGCTAAAATAATGTATAGCACAAGGTTTAAAATTAGTATTTAGGAACATCAAAGGTCTAGCTGCAATGTTTCTCCGAATGTGCTATAAAAATAATTCAATGTATCATACAAGACATTATTTCTCTTCATATGAAACTTCTTTTAGTCTACATGTACCACACAAACTTGTCAATCATTATATAGTGTACAAATGATGAAATATATATACCCCTCCCCTCCCAATTTGCTCATTAGTACTTAGGTGCAAAATATTTATTTATCCTCATTAAATATTCGGCCATTTATGTTAATGTGCATTACACAAGATGGAAAATTTTTAATCTAATTTTAATAACAATTAAAATATTAACTTAACAACAAAAAATAATTCAATGCTCTTTACAATTGTAGTATTCATTATCTCACATGGTACTTTTTCCAAGTTTTATATCATTAATTCACGGTAACTAAAACAGATACTGAAAGAAGTTTAAAGCCAAATATAATCCCACATCTGAAAAACAAGTTTTTCTCTAAATATTTTAAAAACAAACATTCTTGTAACAAAGATGCATGAAGCTTAAACTTCAAAGAAAATGTTAAACTATCATAGAACGTGTTCATTCAACAACAAATTTAAATTCATCCACATTTTCTGAAAACCTTAAGACATCATACGCACTGGAGTAGATCCTTCACAGCAGTTTTAACATCTGAAAAGCTCACAGTTTCAAGGTTAAGGACATCTACGTGTTCATCTTTGTTGTTTTTAACCAAGTGCCAAATTATCAAATTACAGTTGCAACATATAATCAGGACAGATACTAACAAATAATTAATAACATTCTTAAAATTCTCAATGGTTATGTTGAATTACATATTATTGAAAGACAAAAATGTTCATTACATCAAGACCAATTACTTCTAATTTGACTTTACCCAGGCTTTCTCCGCATTTTCACACTGTGTTCCAATTAATAAAGATAAATCTAAGTTTCTCAATTCAAAATAAATATTTTTCCACATATCAAAAGTTGTTTAAACTCTTATGTTAACTTTATTTCACATATTATGTGACATATACAAGGCAAAGCATATCTCAAATGCTAGATTTTAAGCACTTGGAGTGATATATAGCACTTGGAGTGAAAACTTTCAAATAATGACAACCTATTTTTGAATTAGTAAATAAATATATATATAATATTGACAACACTGATAAAACCAAAAAAACAACATTCTTCACATGATGTATTATATTTCCGAGAGAAAATTTTGACAATCAATTAATTACAAAGCAGTAAGTGTTATTTACTTACATTAATTTATTATTTGTTATTTTTCCAAAAACATCAATATCCCATAATTCTTAAAAATTTATTTCAATAACAAATTGTGCTCTGTAAAATAATGTAACTGAAAACACCCTCAAGAATATTTACGTAACTCTCATTTTGTATAATCCAAGATAAGCTCACTTAAAGAAGACAAGATAACTGATTAAATACTGCCTTATTAAAAACTATCTTAGAATGTAAAGCTTTAGTGAATAAGAAATATAAGGCACAGGTTTAGTCCTCTCATTCAAAACAATGCCTTGTCCCTTTAAACAAAACAAAAAATCAAACTTGTGGTGTACAAGCAAAGCAAAGACTACATAAATTGGAAAGTATGTAATATGTAAGAGTTTTGGGGACTTCTTGAAAGTATTCATTTAACAAACACCACAATGAAATGAATAAACATTTATAGTAGTATGTTTTTTTTCATATCAATTTAAGTTTTTGATTATGAAAATCATGTACCTTCAGAATAAATCACATATAACAATATCATTAATGTGAAGGTACAGCTGTCATTAATTACTTAAACAAGAAGATGGTCCTCATCCAACAGGAGTTCAAATAGCCTCCCCCCCCAAAAAAAAACACTAAAATTTTCAGGATTGATAAATCTTGTTTCTGGATCTAAAGTTTAAACATTTCAAGGTAGATAAGCATAATTATCTTGGAGCAACATTAAAGTTCAATAACTTGTCTAAAATAAATCCATATGGTTCCTTTCTGTATTTCCCATACACCTGCTACAAGAAATCAGAACATTAATATGTCTACAAACTATATTTGTAGGATTGTATTTAAATGCAAGTTTGTGATGAAAATTATTAACTTTATAAATCTAGTGGTTCCTTTGTAAAAAAGTCTGGAGGAATTTTGATATCATTGGTGAATGAAAATTTATAACTGTTCTTTTTTGTTAAATAAAAAAATATAACATTTTTCTTGAAGAGTTTTCAATTTACTTCAAGGAAACAAGAAAAAGACATGAAATAAAATGTCGTCAAATTAAGTAATTCTGAAATACTCAAATATCACGTATGCATTAGATGAAGGGCTGTACTTACCCCATGGTTAGCTTCAAATTGAACTGTTGGTTTCTGAAGACTGCTACCCTGGAAGGTACGAAGGAATACGTTTCAGCATTTTCCAATGAAAAGCGTTAAAATACACTGTCAACTTAATATATAATCCCCTTCAGGATACATACAATTGTGTAAGCTATGTATAACTTGAAGTTATTTGGGCTAGTGATCATAATTAATACAAGTGGTAAACACAACTGCCTTTGAAATGTACTACTCTTTTTCACAATTGTGAAATTAATAAATTAGTTGTTTTACACCTGTGGATACCACTGAATATTAATGAGGTCACAGATTACATGTACACTCACTTTAGTCGTACTGTATGCAAACAAACTGATGGACAGATGAGTGTGAGTGGGCAACAGTGCTATTAACAAATATAAGGATAATATCTGGGAATATACAGAAGTATCCTAAGTAAATTATTATTGTCTAAAATCCCCTGTAATTGTGTCTTGATATTAATTTTATGTACCAAACTTTTATCTCATATGTATACATTCTATTTATATGTATAAATCTTTTGTATCATGTTTTCTTTCAAAATAATTTTGAACATCAAAACTCCTTTTCATTACATGCAACTGTTTTTATTTTAACTACTATTTCAAAAATATTAAAAGATACTCAGTTTGGGTGAAAACTAGTATATCTAGGCCACAAGACCCTGAATTCACCAAATCTACTCCATTGTTAAAAATTTACGGTTTTTTAAACACTGAAAGCTGGCAAAGAATTAGAAATTAATATGCCTAAAATGTATTAATCAAGATCCAATTGAGAGGAACGTAAAAAAAAAAAAATATCCGCAGTTTATGTGACCACTTAGGCAGAATATTTCTATCCATGCTGCAAACAGACTTCAGAGGCCTGATGATGCAAGTCTAGCCAGAATATTTCTATCCATGCTGCAAACAGTACTGCACTTCAGAGGCCTGATGATGCAAGTCTAGCCAGGTGGCCCATACAGTAATTGTCTTGGTAGCCAATCAAACGAGTTGAAGCTGCAGTCTCACTATCCCCATTTCCTGACCCTTGGGCTGGGTATGCCATGCAGGTCAAATGGGATCACAATACTGACAAGTGAAACAATCTTGTCAATCACAATTACAGAATCTTGAAACGTAAATGACTGAATTACATTTATCATGAGTGTATTGATAATAGATAGTACGAATATGGAAATCTTCCTTTTCGAAATGTGTACTCGCATTTTTTTTTTTTGAAGTGCTTTCTAAGATTTACTATCAAAGCTGTAACACTAACCAGCAATGTGCTAGTATTACTTTTTAAAAATAACATGCAGAATCTATACAAAAATTACTGTAGTTTTATTTAATTCTGTAAATTATATATATTGCTTCCAAATGACCAAATAGCCAACTGTTTGTATAGGTTAACTGTACATGTAGTTTTATTCATATCATATAACATACATAAATGCATTACTGAATCATCGTCTACCTGTCTGATGAACACTATATATATATATATTACCCATGGAAGAGAAGTACAGATACAGTACAAAATGAATGCCTCAAAAACCAGTTATGGAAGAAATCTGTACAACATACATTACAGTACAAGTTTGTTCACATATGCAGCTAATCATAACATCAATCACACTAAATCTCCATAAAAAACTCGTTACTTCTTCCAATATCTACACATGTTTGTAGTTAAGGAGAAAATAAAACAATTCTATTTAACTGAAATGCATTGAATATAACATGTAATAAATTCAAACAATACACTGTTACTTACTGTTACTACTTATTTACTCTTCATATTATATTTTTACACAACAAAAACCTCTACAAGTCAACTTGTCACACACTTGTAAGCATGTAAAAAAATTAAACTAAGCCTTTCAGTCTGAATTATCAGATAAGTTCCTCTGACAGACAGTTTACATGTTTATACAGTAAAACATGCATGTGAACATTACATGTATAAAACAACAAATAAACTACTGTGCACACTGTATGATATTTACTGTTTTCATTTCAAAGTGCAAACAGATCACTAAAACATAATGATGGTACACAAGACTCTACATGAATTTCCTTAGTCTGTAAAAGCTGTTAACTAACATGTTTTGCATTTCATTAATCAAACTGTTGATGACATACTCAAAATGTTTATTTACAGTTTTTTGTTCTGGCTACTATTCAAAGTAAGCTATTATCAATCAGTTGATTATTATACAATATTTAAAATGAAATTTAGCAGACAACATCAATTGGAAAGTTTTGGGGATGATTCAGTCAGAGTAAAATTTAGTTTAATTGGACAACTGTGAGATGTTATTAATAGTACTGGTCTGTCTTAATTAGATATGTAATTGTTAGATCATTCTGTAGAAAAACGAAAAGAAAAATTACATACAAACATATCACTGTAACAAAACAACATACATTAAAACATTCTTCAGTTCTGAAAGTAGCATTTGTTATGATTTGATATGAAGATGTAACAATATAATACCTATTGTTTTTTTCAGCCCAAACAGTTTTTGTTCAATGACTGAATCCATATTTCTACGTATGTTTTTGTATTTTTGTTTTTATTTAACATTCCATAAATCATGTAAAGTAAGTTCTGCATTGGTCATGAGGTTACAGCCATGGTCGTGAGGTTACAGTCATGGTCATGAGATTACAGTCATGATCGCGAGATTATATATAAATAATTTCCATGTCAAGAAAAACAAATTAGGATGTGAAAACTAATAACAAAAAAATTGTTTCTCAGACAAAAAATTAAGTTTCCTTCATCATTATACTATTTAAGGATACTGTTTATCAATTTAGAGAAAACTTATTGGATTTAGGTATAAAGTTAATGAATTCTTCATTAATGATGTTAGAAATAACAAAGCAAACTACACAGTACACAGATATCAAAATGGAATATAAACTGTGAACCTAAACGTCCATTACTAGAGGTACAATAGCTCAGTATATAACTAACATGAGCATGTTCAGAACTATGAGAAAAACTATACATTTAAACTTTCATGTGGATTTATTTTGAATAACAACATTCATGTGCCTTCGCCATTTTCACTACCATCACAGTGGCACTGCAGTGTCTTTTTTATTATTATTTAACTTCCAAACATAACTGAATAATAAGGTAGATCCATTCCAAACATCATAATTGTATAAATATGCTTAAAACTAGACAAAATAACTAACAATGCACCACTTTATCATCTGAAACAATGACGTAATGATAGTAGATAAAAGGTAGTTCAATATTTCAATGTAAATAACCGAATTTCATAACATTTCAGCAGTTTTTAATACAAGTAAAACAAGGAACCATGATAACAATTCTAGCATGGATTCTATATATTTTATCACCAGGCAAAAAACAGGTTTGCTAAAGTCTAATTAATATAATTAAAGAAAAAACAGCAAAAGAGAACACCTCTTTGTAGGATTTAATAACGATGAAAAAATTTATACGTACATATATATTCATAGTATGGATGTACATTCTTCCTGGTTGAATAAAATAATATGCTATTCATAGACGAAGTTATTTTGATTCCCCATCCAATTGAAAAAATTATAAATTTAATAAAATGAACTTGGATATTTCAGTAGTAAAGCAGCATAATAGGCAATGCAGCCAAGTTAATCTTGAATGAAGATAAATACGGAGTCAAGAAAAACACTTAACCTTCCTTCTGTCATAAAAAAACAAGATTAACCCTCAGGTGTCGACATCAACTCTAGAACCAGTTTTTTGGCTAATAGCCAGAATAAATGTCCTACACTTAGCCACCGAAGCTACATGTACAATAAAAATGGTTACCTATGTGTGCGTATATTTAAAAAAAAAAAATATTTATTTTGTAACATTAAAGTGTTTTCCCTTTAAATACACTTTATATTATTCCAGGAAATTAGGTTTTCTAATATGACCAACATCATTCCAACCACTTCAAAAAAATTATTCTGTTGCTATCATCTAATCTTGACTTATATTACACTACTTTTTTAGGAGAACAATAATAAAACTTGTACTTTATTTGCAACTTTCTTCTGATACATATGTATTACCAACCACTATCTTTTAATAACCACTTTTTTAATCCAAAACAATGTACTTCAAGTTAGTCACCCACCCAAACTCTCTTTAATTTTAGGGCTTTACTTCTTTCACTTTTTACAAATCATTTAATCAATTCTCTCAATATAAGGGTTAAGTCATTCTAACTTAAATTTACTGAAGAAATAAGAGAGAAGCAATGAGTAAAAAATTCCTGAAAACAAAACTAAAACAGCATGCAGTAAATGAAGTAATACACTTCCCTGAACTTGTTTCTCTTCATTAAAAAAGTTAATCCTTTCGAGATGGGTCATAGTTGAAGGGCCATGTCATCTCGTGTCAAAATTTTATTGAACTACTATTTCATGAATTTATGTCAATGTATCAAACTGTAGATTATAATTCAAATTTTAGAACTATACACTACTCAATTTCTTAATTTAAAAGTATATATAAAAAAAATTTCAGATAAACATCGATTTTTTGTATGTCACGTGGTATGCTGAATGCAACACTGGTTCAAATTAGATGTTTGTGAAGTCAAAATACCAAGTCTATAGTTTCGTATGAATTAGAAACTCAAATTACAGATATTGACAAGATAGAATAGGAAATAAGGTCTTACCTTTTCTATATGCTAAGATATTGCTCATGTATAACATCAAACACAGTGGCACCCCACCCACCTCTTTCTATTTTTGGAAACGCTCCCTTATATACACTTAATTCTATATATGACGTGAATAACCAATCGGAAAGTCATGATGTCCCCCTAGTGATTTTTTCAGCCTTTCTAATGTGGCTAGCACTATATCTTTCTTTTGAACCAAGATTTCAATGAGGTTGTGTCTTTAGTCTGCACGAAATGTACTATTTTTTCAAGAGTAAAATAAATCTTAGTTACCAAGCTTGATAAATTATAGTTGAATTCTATAATACTGTTGTAGTAATTTATGATTTTTTAG